CCAGAAGGCTGGCGGTTCAAATCTACCAGCCACTCCTTGGAAGGAAGGTTGGGCAATCTACTTCCATAGTGATACCACCTCAGAAGCCCAGGGAGGGGTCGCTATGAGTCGGGGCCGACTCGATGGCACATAACAACAACAACATATGCCTGTCTGTTGTTTGGCTGTAAGCCATGAGAGTGAGTTCAGTTCCAGACCTGAAGGGTAACTAGGGGCCGTAGTCTCAGGGGTCTCACCAGGTTCTATCAGACCAGCAAACCTGGTCTTTTTTATGATTTTTGAGTTTTGTTCCACATTGTTTTTCTACTCTATCCAGGATCTCCTGCACTTATCCCTTTCCAAGTGGTTGACAGTGGTACCCAGGCACCATCTAGTTCTTTTGGTCTCATGGTCATATAGTCTTGCCAACCTTTATTCCAATTCTGACACTAACCTTCACTCCCACAGCACTGTCTATTTCTCCACTGGGTTTGATAATTTTTTGCAATGGTTACACAAAACTCAATGATTGTGAGGTTTATTAGAGTTACAATCTAGCATCAGAAACAACTCAGTATACAGTTCTTCAGTCAGGACAGCTTTTTAGCCATGCCAATAGGCATGCCTATCTCTGACCCTCAGCCTCGGTCCTGTAGCTCCTTGGCCTCTGTCCTGCTTGGGTAAGTGTTACAAAACTCTTCAGCTCTGCCAATAAGAGCCCAGAGGCACTCCACTCCTCCAGTAAGCCTCAGGGGAAGGCATTTAGCACTCTCTGCTGCTGAGTGTGTGAGCCTAGCTCTTCAAAGTAACCCCAGAGGGGCCCTACTCTGCCAGCAAGCCTCCTGCCTAAAGGCACCCAGCTTGCTCACTCCAAAGGACAGGAACCCCACCACCCTGTCTCCTGCTAGTTCTGCTGCAGTTGTTTCTCCGCAGCTGCTTCTTGCTGTCTCGCACCATCTCTGGCGTGATAGCTCTCGGTCTCCTGGGCCTGGGGTTTCCCAGTGCGAGGACCCTGAGTCCAAAAGACACTTTCCACTCTTGTGTCTCCTGGGCGGTAGTGGTCTCCCCTTTCCGCCTCTGGGATGGCTCATTTTAAACCTAGCCAGATGGCAAAACTGACCAATCCCCTCATTAGGGTTCCATACCCCTTATTTATATTATCAACAAGCTGTCCAATCCTCTTGGTGGGCTACACACACCTCATTTGCACAGACCCATCCAGTCATTTTGTGGGAATTACAAAGACTGGCTGGAAGGGCCATATTAAGTACTTCACTGCATAGCAACTAGTTGCTGGAAATCATCAGCTGTCTTTCCCAACCTCTGATCTTTGGCCACCTACGGTGAATATGGAATCTTTTGTCTTTGAACAGAAATTTTATCTGATCTTGCTACACCATTTTACAGATAAACTGACAACAAGAAACTTTATCAATTTATTTTGTTGAATCCACACAGGGAGATAATATTGAAATTTATTTATCGACCAATTAAAGTGTGCAAGGTATTCTTCTAAGTTTTATACATACATATATACATACATATGAAAGGAGCTCTGGTGGTGTAGTGGTTAAGGCATTTATTTGGCTACTAACCAAAAGGTTGGTGGTTCAAACCCACTAGCTGCTCCACAGAAGAAAGATAGAAGGGTCCTTAGATAACCTACTGGCCCATCTACTTAACAAATGTGAAAACAAATCCAGGGAAATTAAATTGCTTGCTTCAGGTCACACAAATCAGTTAATTTTCAGCAAGCACCTTTAGAACCAGACTGGAACCTCAGCTGCTTCAGATTGGATCTGTACTTATACTATACTCCATGGCATTCTAATTCTTATCATTTTAATTTTTTTAAAATGTGAAGCCTAGGATCTGAGTCACCAGTATGTTATCAAATGCAATGCTGCAGAAACTTTCAGAAGGCAGTGAAAATATTAGCAATAGAAAAGAACCTAGTAGGAATGTAAAATACATAAATAGTATTTTCTTTTAGATATCAAAGAGGAAATACCAAAGCTAACAGATTCTCACTTCAATATAAAACTAATCATTAAGAGGAAGTATAACTTTTAAATGCAGTTTCAATTTTTAAGGCAGCTTGCAATGCTTTGGAGTATTTTCATTTTCTGTTTTTTAAAGTTAGGTGCCAGTTTTGAGAATCGCTGGTTTTAAAATAAGCTTCTAAAAACAGGAAGTAAGTAGAAAGATTCTTAATTTCATTTAATAATATAATAGTGATAAAACATTAAAAAAAAGTTTCCAAACTAGACTTCTGTCTTCTAGTTTCCAGAAAATAGTTTTACCGTGTGCTTGATGTTGGGTTCTTACGACTCCTCATTTCTTTCTGCCTGGGAATTGTCACCTTCACAAGACCACACCAGTGGTATCTCTTCAAGGGTTTGTGAGGAGTATCTTCCTTCAGGTATTTGAGTGCTATGTTGTGCTAATTGTTACACTGGAATTGAGAGGAATAAGAAAGAGGGAAGACTAGTTACAGAGACTGTATTTTTTAGACAGTTACTTTTCAAAGTCTGTGAAAACTGATACCTGGGCATGACATTTAGGCACATTGAGTCCAGAGTTTCAAGAAGAGTATTTGCATAATCATGATACTGTAACTGAAAGTAGACATGTTGAGTAACAGAACAAGTTATGCCTGCTTCTCCCTGGCAACATTTTCAAAGGGGCATTAAACTTTAAAGTATTGCCTGAAAAAGCAAGGAAGAACTAGAAAGAGTGATGGCGTAAATCAGCCTTACTCCTTTAGTTAAGCACGTCATGTTTTACTGTTCCCTCTAACTTTGTAGGATCAAGTCAAGGTTACCACCAGTAGCAGAATTTGTAGTTCGAACCTGGTACTATTAAGATTTGGCATCAGTTTAGAAATTTCTGAAACATCTTTGGAGTAATTTATGAGTTTATGTTCTCCAGGTGAATAAGATATCAGACAGTATTTCACTGCTGTTCATAAGGTTTTCACTGGCCAATCCTTTGAGAATTAGATGGCCCCATCCTTCTTCCAAGTCTGTCTTAGGCTGGAAGGTCTGCTGAAACCTATCCACCGTGGATGACCCTGCTGGTATTTGAAATCGTGGTGGCATAGCCTCCAGCCTTACAGCAACACTCAAGCTACCACAGTATGACAAACTGACAGATGAGTTGATGCTTTTGAGTTGTGGTGTTGGTGAAGAATACTGAAAGTACCAAGGATTGCTGAAAGAATGAACAAATCTGTCCTGGAAGAAGTGCAGCCGGAATGTTCTCCTTGGAAGCAAGAATGGCCAGACTTTGTCTCATCTACTTTGGTCATGTTATCAGAAGGGACTATTCTCTAGAGAAGGATATTATCCTTGGTAAAGTGGAGGGTCAGTGAAAAAGGGGAAGGCCCTGATTGAGATGGATTGACACAGTGGCTGCAATGACAGTTTCAGGCATAACAAGGACTGTGAGGCCAGCACAGGACTGGGCAGTGTTTCGTTCTGTTGTACACATGGTCACTAAGTCTTGGAGCCAACTCAACAGCACGTAACAACAACAACAGGTTAATAAGATATAATAATTATCATGTTTTTCTTATCAAAAGACTTGGTATTTCAGACCAAAAATTTACATAAATCCAGTACAGGGAAGTCAAATTGGGGCCTGGCACAATACTCAGAAATCAAATGTCACTTTCATTCTTTGACTTCAAACACCATTTCTTCAAGAATTACAGCTGCAGTTGTAATTAGGCATGGGGAAAGCCCACAGGGGACATTGTCTTAAAGAGAATGAAGTTCATGGAAAAGCCAGGTCCTGACATCTATGATATCAGTATGCTAGCACTGACACCTTGAATTGTGTAGGTTGGAGATGAACTTTAAATTGACTTTTCAACGTGGTGACACAGTGTGTAACTTGCTCAGTCACAGGACAATGATTTTTCCAGAGCATCGGGAGAATTTTATCCATAAGACTCTACTTACCATGGAGTTCCTAGTTCTATCCCATTCCAACTTTTTTCACTTGACTACTTTCTTACATTCTTGGTAAATAGTTAGAATGTTAAACAAATGGGATATTTTAAGCTAAAAACTGATGGAAGCTATTTTAAAGAAAAAAAATCTTGAGGATTTCATTAGGAGTGGTACTTCACCAATAGACAGCCAATTAACTGTAGTTCAGGCAAGCGGTGCTTCGAGGATTGCTTTCTTTGATAATAATGAGTAAAGTTCCTCTGGAATATGGGAGGAAAGGAAAGGGAACCATACTTGTACCCTTATTATGTCCTAAGGATTTTGTGTTATTCTTTTAATCTTCACTGTAACCTTTGAAGTACTATTTTCATTTTATAGAGGAAACAGCTCTCTAGCTGTCTGTATGACTAACTCCAAAGCCCATGCTCACCCCCAGCTCCCTTATTTCAGCCTCATAATAACCTATGAGGTTAGCATTAACACATTCATAAGGAAGCTGAAGCTCAGAGAGGTTAAGTAACTTGCCTAAGGTTACACACCTAACTGGTGGAGCACTGGCATTATAAAACTTTACCTCCTTTAAAACCTCATGTCTGAACCTCTAAAGTAGAGATTTAGATTAATTGTGGTAGTAGGTTAACTGTAGGCAGGATAAAATTGCCAAAAAACCCTAATAGAATTGTTTGTCTTTACAGCATTCCATGCAGGGGCTCTTGTTGTCCATATATCATATTTCATTTAATAATATATAAATTTCTCTTAAAATATAACATTTGCTAATAATCATCACATGATCAGATTACTCACTGGAACTTTATTAATAGAATCACTGCAGGGTGATGGATCACTTCTATATGGCTTTTCTAGCCATGGTCTTATAACACTCACCAAATGACTGAGTGGGACTATGCAAATAAGGTGCTGTGGCCCACAAAGGGTACTACTGGACAGCTTGCTAATAATGCAAATAAAGTGCACAGAGTGGGACCATGCAAAGAAAGGTGCATGAAATGCCTGTGGGGGTGGGATCATGCAAATGAGGTGTGGAACCCTAATGAAGGGATTTGTCAGTTTTGCTATCCCACTAGGCTTAAAATGAACCACCCCAGAGGCAGACTGGGGATCTGACTACTACCAAGAAAAAGAGAAGAGTGGAACATGGCCTTTGGACCCAGGGTCCAGGGTCCCTGGCTGGGAATCCCCTAGACCCAAGAGACAGCGACCTTTAACACTGGAGATGGTGAGAGAATCAAGAAGCAGCGGTGGAGAGGTGGTGGAAGTAGAACCAGGAAATCAGCAGGAGCTGGTATGGCGGGCTTTCTGGCCCGTGCAGTGAGAGAGCTGAGCGCCTTCGGGCAGGAGGCTTGCTGGGGTTGTGGGATGCATCTGGGCACTTGGTGGAGCTGGGCTCACTGACCCACAGAGTAAGAGAGCTAAGTGCCTTTGTGCTGAGGGTTCCTGGTGGAGTGGGATGCCTCCAGGCACTTACTGGTGGCGCTAAAGAGCTTTGTAATATTTGTTCACGCAGCGCTCAGGCCAGAAGGACCCAAGGTTCCCAAGGAGCCAAGGGCCAGAGAAAGGACTGCCTGTGGGCATGGCTGAGGAGGGACTGCCTTGATGGGAAGAACTGTATCCTGAGTTGTTTTTGATCCTGAATTACAGAATTATAACCTGTTATTTCCTAATAAACGCACAATTGTGAATACAATCTGAGTTCTGTGTGACCATTGCAACAAATTATCAAACCCAGCAGAGGAGTGGAGAGTGCCTTGGAAGAAGGGGTGGTGGTAGAATTGCTGAGAAGGTTGGAGAGAAGTATGTGGAAATTAGCCTTGGGCTAATGCTGATATTGATTGTCTCTCCCCCATGGTGAAGTTAGAGAAGGAGATCAGATGCCTCTGCCAAACCATTTTTACACTCACTAAGATCATAAATTTGCAAACCCTTGTTCTCCAGATAGTAGTGAGAAGTGAAACCAGTGTGCATAACCCAGACCCACTGGGCACTTCCAGCATTTACATAGACAGGGTTAGAATTTCGGTAGTAAAAATTAATTCCTAAGAAGATCAAGTCAAGATAATTTGTTAAAAGTGAGAATTCCTTGTCTTAGAATTACTCCCTCTTAGAAATGGATTTAGTTCTTCCAGAAAAATACTGTGTTGTATTTTATCTTTTTCTCTGCTGGCTCATTTCCCTTTTTCTTGGATCTTGTTTGTTTCCATTGCTTTTAGATCAATGGTGTCTTCTTTAGTTTTTAAGATTCTGACACTTTGAAAAATTCTTCAGTTACCACCAAAACTTAATGAAGTTAAAGATATTTGCAGTGTGGTATAATGACCAGTTCCATAGCGTTCTGCTGTGACCTTAACTGGTTTCTGTAACTAACAATTTCCTGCTTACTCATCTTCAAAGGTTTCATGGTCATGTAGTCTTTTTTTCTTTTGCAATCACTCTTCTTCCCTTTCTTTCTCTTCTTTAAAACAGCAGGTGGTTCCTGATGGCATATGTTTTTATTTAAATCCTATTTGTAGTGTTGTTGATAGTATATGCAGCAAAACATACCGTTTTGACCTGCACAGTTCAGCGACATTGATGACCTTTCTCAGGTTGTGCAGCCATTCTCACCCTCTTTTTCTGAGCTGTTCTTCCCTGATTAGCATACACTCACTGCCCCCTAAGATTCCTATCTGATCTTTTGGGTTGCTGTTGTCACTTTGATCCCATATAGATAGTTCTTAAAGGAACATAATGCTCAAAGCAGACCATTTTTACTCAACCCACTGCCATTGAGTCTATTCTGGCTTATAGCCACCTTGTAGGATAGAGGATAACTACCCCATTGGGATTGCTAGGCTGTAGATCTTTAGGGAAGCAGATTGCCACATCTGTCTTTCACAGAGCAATTGATGGGTTTGAACTGCTGACCTTGCGGTTAGCAGCTGAGCACCTAACTACTGTGCCATTGGTGCTCCCTCTAGAAAAAAAAAACTTTTCTAGTAGTTAAGCTAAACTATTTTAAGGAGCTCTGGTAGCATAGTGCCTAAGGCACTTGACTGCAAACCAGAAGGCTGGCAGTTCAAACCCACCAGCCACTCCTCAGAAGGAAGGCTGGGTAATCTACTTCCATAGTGATACTGCCTCGGAAACCCAAGGAGGGGTTGCTATGAGTTGGGTCCAACTCGATGACACATAACAACAACAACAATTGTTCAGTTTTAAGAAGACTTCAGGGGATATTTTGTAAAGATTATCTCAGAGTAATAGATCCAAGGGTTCATCCACATTCTAAGGCTCCTGAAAGTCTAGAATCCATGAAAATTTGAAATTCAGTTCTGCATTTTCCCCCTTTTGATCAGGATTTTTCTATGGAATCTTTGATCAAAATGTCCAGTAATGGTAGCAGGACATCATCCAGTCCTTCTGGTCTCATGGCAGAAGAGGCAGTTGTTCATGGAGCCAATTAACCACACATTCCATGTCCTCCTCCTATTTCTGACTCTCCTTCCTTTGTTGTTCCAGGTGAATAGAGACCAATTGTGGCTTAGATGGCCACTTGCGAGGCATTATGCAAGGAACTAGGAGACAGAACAGAACACTAAACATGTTAGGCCAGTGAACTGGGATGTCCCATGAATCCATGACCCTAAACCTCCAAACCAAAGAATCAAATCCCATGAGGCGTTTGGTTGTACATAAGCAGCCTCAGCAGCTCTTTTTTTTTTTTTCCTGATCATTGTTGTAAATACATCTATCACACTGATTAGCATATTTTCACAATCAGTCCCTCTCTTTTTAAGAAGACAGTCTCCAGGAACTCAGTCAAGTTTAGATCATTGACTGAAAAAATATTCAAGCTTTGGCATGAAGGTAAATTGAGGTGATTACCAAGGCAAGGTCTTATTAGATAACCTGCATTTCACTTAACATTTCCAAATTTTAGCAGACTGAACTGTGCAGTGTTGTTTGAAATTTCAAACCCTCCAACTCACTCTCACTATGTATCTGCCCTGTGAAGCAGGTGGCTGGCTGTTCTGATTGTTATAAATCTAACAGTGTCTGGAATGAAGAGTACCCAGACCTAGTAATTGTGAGAGTAAAATACTTAGAAAGCAACTTGCAAACACATACGCACAGTACACAAATGGTGGGGAAAGGGGGCCACATGTAATAGAAAAAAGACTAAACAGTTTTGACAATTTAGATTTTTTGTAGCTCTGTCCTACAAAGGAAGTGGACTATGGGAAGTGGACTTGGAGTGTCTACTGAAAGGGTTTTTCAGCCCCACCCTTTCATGGAGAACGATAAGCTGACTGGGGTTGGGTTCACAAAAATGTATCTTTGTGAAGTATTTCTTAAAAATGGGGCCAATTTTCGGAGTCCACAGTTACTCAAAAAAGGAAAAATGAATTGGGGCGGGGGGATTAGTGATTCAAAGGAAGGAGTTAGAACTCCAGAGATTCTTCACATCTTGCCACGAATGACGTTTGTGTACACGTTTGGAATACAGAGAAAGGGAGTCAGTATCTAAAGATAAAATTAGTTCCCAGCTAATCAACCAGGCCAGGTAACAGGTGCTCATCTCCTTGATCCTCACCACCACACAGTGAGAGAGATGAATTCGTTATTACCTACATTTTCAGACGGGGGCTGTGAGCTTCTGGAGATGTGGACTCACCGCCCAAGGCTGCTCAGCTAGTTTGTGCTGGAGGCTGGATTTGAACCCAACAAGTTATCTGTGGACACAGCGCCTTTGCTTTTACCTCACCAAGCTTAACATAATTTTACGTCTGAGCGTGTCCTGGCCGAACAAGTTAGAAATCACTGCTTTCAGAGATTACAAATCTCTGGCTACAAGCCCTTGGATTCCTTCCCCAGCCACTGGGACGCTGGATCGTTCTCTGTATCTACATCTCTACCTACACGGCGCGCAGACACCACCAGGCCCCACTCGCACGGCGCAAGGTAACTAGGCTTCTCCGACGGGCCGGGTCGCCGGGCGGTGGGCGAAGACAATCCAACAAACTGATTCGCGTGAGTGGCTGTGAGGGGAAAGTATTGTCCTTAAATGCAGAGTGGCGCTCGACGCAGGGGAGCAATCTCAGGCCTCTTCTGAGCGCTGGTAATAACAGGGGCCGGGCTAGCTTCAAAGGGGAAAGGTTGTCCTAAGAGCAGAGAGTGTGGTTGCTAATAAGTGATTTCATTTTCATTCAAAAATTGGCTATCTTCCGATCCCAGGTTGCGGGCTTCACCTACTTCAGCGTCCTTCCCAACCTCCGGCGGAGGCGAACCGAGAGGTGGTCGCCGGAGCAGAGGGGGCGCCAGGCGCGCCAGGGGCCGGGGAAGCGGGGCGGGGCGGGCGCGCGTGCGCGAGCTGTCAGGCAGGCCCCGCCCCCGACGCACCACCCTGCCCTCCCCGCCCCTCCGCCCACGGTCCCCTCCCCTTCTTTCCCCCCTCCCCTCGCCTCTCCGGGTGTGGGGCGGGCGGGCGCTGCGGCGGCCTCGGCTGCTGCTTCCTCGGGCCATTTTGCTGAGGAGCGCCGCGGAGGAGGAGCCGCCGCGGAGACCCAAGAAGAGGAGCAGCGAACCCGAGGCGGCGGCGACCTCGCGGGCAGCGGGCTTTCCTCGGCCGCGGGGATCTCAGGAGGCGAAAGGATCGCCGGGGTGGGAACCGAAGGAGCCGCGCCCGCAGCGCGGAGCGCCCCTTCCCGCCCCCTGCACCATGAGCTGGGGCACCGAGCTGTGGGTGAGTGAGGGGCTGGGCCCCGCGGGGCTGCCGAGGAAGGTGCAGGGCGCGCGGGCCGGGCCGGGCTGCTTAGTGCAGGCGATGGCGTGCGGGGCCAGTCCTCCGCGGCCCGGGTCCGATTCCCCTAGTCGGCCTTGGCCGGAGCTGGGGACGCGGGCCAGACTCGCCCTTCGGAGGCGACAGGGAGCTGTTGTGGGTCCCCTAACGGCCTGAAGAGGGGGCGCAGCCGCGGATCTGAGTCGCCCCGCCGATCGGAGGAGGGGGTGCGGTTCTGAGCCCCCCCCCCGGCAGGTCTAATAAGAAGGGACGGCTGTGGGTCCTCCGGCGGCCTGAGGGGTGGACTTAGGTCTGGGTCCCTCCACCGGCCTGAAGTGGGGCGCAGATTTGAGTCTCTCCGCCGTTCTGAGAAGTGGGCGCAGGTCTAGGTGCCCCCCGCCCGCCTGAGGAGGGGGCGCGGGCCGGCCCCCCTCTTCCCGACGCCCCGATGCCAGCTGTGAGTGTTGGAAAGAGGCTTAATCCGTCGGGGCGAGTAATCGGGTGGATGCCCCCTGTGCATCGCGAGGGGCTGCGGTGGGGGCATGCAGGCCTTCGGATTTGGGGGTCTGTGTTATTCGGGCGCCCTAGCTGCGAGTTTCTAGGGCTGCTTTCTCTCAGTGGAGGTGCCCATTGCAAAGGGCACTCCTCCCGGGGGCGGGGCGGCCTCGGCGGGCGCCGGGTGCAGGAGGTTGGGTTTTGGGGTACCGGGGCGAGAAAGTGGTGTCTTCCCTCTGGAAGTGAGGACTTTTAACCTGTGGCTGTTTGGGGAGCACTTGTAGCCAGTTACGATTCTGAGCTTGTTGTGGGGACTGCGGCATTTCGCCCAGAGGGACAAAGTAGCAGGGGTTAGGGGGGAGACATTGTTATCAATTTCTGGAAGAGGCTTTCGCGGGGTACAGAATTCATCACCCGCTCAGAGGAAACAGTTTGAAATGGGGAAGGTTGGCGGTAAGGGGCACCTTGCTGGGCTCCTTTGGGTTGGACTGTGTCCCTGTGGTGGTGGTGGTGGGGTTGGGTGGGTAAACAAGGAGCTTTGTGTTTAGAGCTTCCTTCGCTCCAGGGCCAAATGCGAACCCGGGATGCGAAGGCAGTTCCCAGGCCGTCCCGGGAAAGGAGGAGAAACCGTTGGCTGTGGAATGGAGTTTCTTTCCTGCCTTCCTCTGGATTCCTGGGGAAATCACTGGGCAAGGCATGAGCAGTGAAGTGTCCAGTGGGAGGAGTGAAGGAAATCTCAATTATTGCATTGAAATGCTGTCAAGATGAACCATTTCCCCTGATGAACTCTAAGGTTACCTCCCTTACTACCTTTTGGAATTCAATCTATAAAGGGTGTGGAGGAGAAAGTGTGTGTGTGGGGGTGGTTGCTATCTGCCATGAGGCCAAGAAATATCTTGTCACAATAAAGCAAGGTTACAGTAGTTATAAAAACAGAGAGCATCCTCCCTAATTTTTTACCCCCCTTTAACTGTTTTTACGTAACCATTCCTTGGGCTCAGAAGCAGCTTCTGTATACCACAATCCTGAGGCAACAGCTCCCTTAGGTTAAGAGAATTCATTTTATAAACAGCCTCTGTCTAAAAGATTCATGGCAGAATGTTGGCTGATATTAACAAATACTCATTTTTAAAATAAAATAACAGATTTAAAATATTTACACACATCGGATTAGTCAAAATCTACCATTTTAAGTGTTATATTTCTTCTTCTATTCTCCGTCCACTTTCTTTGGCTCTTTTTAGCTTATCAGAGTCAGGGAACAGCAGAAGTAATCTTTACCAAGAGACTGGAATTTGGCATGGTATTTTCCACTTGTTCAAAAAGGAGAATGGAGCTGTGGAGGAAAATAAAAAAACAATTCTGAGCGGAATAGATGTGGTTAAAGGCTCTGAACACAATGGTGAACATTGCATGCAATGATGTAGGTGAACATTAATTGTGGGTGACCCAACAGAGAAGAGGCAGCCACCAGAGGGAACTGATCCAATAGTTCCAATTTCCTGCACTGTTCCATGCGCTTCTTTTTGGGGGATGGGAGTAGGAAAGAAGGCAAGGACAGGGAGTCGTTGAAAATGAATGTAATATTTACACGTGAACTGATACGAAGCCTTGGATTTGCTTCACAGTAACTTGGGAGTGGAGGTATTGATGAAACACAATTGGTCATGAGTTGGTAATCATTGAAGTTAAATGATGGTTATAGGAGACTTCATAATATTATTTCTACTATATGGTTGAGGTTTTCTATAATAAAGTAATTGAAAAATATTTTTTTTAAGGAAGAAAGTGTGTGAACTATCTGAAAAAATTTCTGGTAAGTTTATGAGGAAGAGTGAGTCAGTTAAATATATGCAAGTATATGGCAAGGACGAGTGAGTGAATGAATGAATGAATGAATGAAACACATTCCTATAGAGTATCAGTTTTTGCCCTTGAGTAGCTTATCGTTTAATGGAGGGAAAGGAATAAATGCATTATTTGCAATAAGTGCAAAATCTGCTTATTGAGGTGGAGTGCAAGGAAGTATAAAGAGTGAAATGTCAATTTTCAGATGCCTTATTTTATTTGAGGTATTTGGTTTTTTTTTTTTTTTTTAAATAATGAAAGATTCTGAAAAATATACCCCTAGTTTTCTGGTGGTCAGAGACTCGGTGATGTGCTGTGCGTTGCAGCCCAGTGGACAGTGATTGAGGGTTTTCCTTGAGTGGCGGCTTTGGAATCATGCACATGTGTAATGAGATAATGATGGGGCTAACTTGGCAGAATTGTACTTCTAGATGGAGAGTGACAGAGCTATGATTTGAGTGGCTATGAATTATTTGTAACAGGTGGTTGCAGCTTTTCATGTACCTTTGCACATACTATCAGGTTTTACATACAGTTTAGAACTTTAGTCATAGTCCATATAGGTTTTTTTAAAAGAAAACTGTGGTTTTGAACATGCACTTTACATTAAGGGCCTACTCTTAAGCCACATCCTGCCTTGTAGAGGGAATGAAACTTACTTTTCTCTTCTCTTTCTTCTTCTCTGCTTTCTTCTCCTTTACCCCCTCCATGGGAGTTAACATTCATAGTCTAGGAAAGATTTTGAGAAATCGTAAAACGTCAGGAAGTTACCATATAAATATAAAAGTGAACTTATTAAAACTGACTGCTAGTTGTATTTGTCATAACTTTATTAGATTAGTTTACATTTAAATTGGGGCTTTCTGGTTTTGTATCAGAAGGTTGTAACAATGTATAAATGTCTGTTTTAAAGTGATTAGACTGTGATACATGTGTAATAATTTCTGCACAGTTGTTCATAATGCAACCTTTTAATTAAAGTTTAAAACTTTTATTGAACTATTACTGTGTGCAAGCTGTGAATCTGGGTCAGTTGCAAGTCACCTCATATATACCAAAGTATATCTGCTTATTTCATTGAAAGCCTTAAAGTAGGTCTGTGCCAAAAGGGTAGGGAGGCTGCATCTTCTGACCTCCTCTAACCCCACAAGAGGAAGACAGAATCATTATCAGTAGCCCAAGGCCTATTCCTGCTAGGCCGGACATGCTGCCTCCCTCCAGCCCTTTCACCAACCCTGACACCAACCATTTCTTCCACAGCACCCACGACCTTTCTGTTGGTTTGATATTCGCTGCAGTGGCCACACAGAACTCACAGATTATGGGGTTTACTAGGGAAGCAACAAGCTACAATTCAGTTCAGAAATGCATTCAGTCTCTTGCAGTCTCGCTCAGCAGTGCATGTCTCTTGCATCTCTCAGCAAGCACATGTCTCTCAGGAGTACATTTTTCTCAGTAGCACGTCTTTCTCAACCGACAGTCAGAGAGACTCCTTCTGCCTCTCGGAGGGCTCCTTTTGAGCCTGGCAGAGTGGCCAAACTAACCAATCTCAACATCAGAATTCTATACACCTGAGAGAGAGAGAACTTCCCAGAAAATTACTTCCTGCTGCTCCCAACAGATATACCCCAGGTGGATAACTTTAACAATCAGGAGCTACTCAGTTGCTCATGACAAATTCCACCACGGAGTTTACAAAGACTTATGGCTAGGTAAAGGCACACTATGTGATTTACTACACTGCAGTCTGCAAATAAGAGAACTAAATCTCTTTGCAAAAGTAGCCAAAATGTGTTTACTCCAACTTTGTTTAAAAAAAAAGATAGTGTTTATACAGTAAGTATGTTGCCTTGACTTGTTGAAGTTGTGACTGGTCACGGAGAAATCAGGAAGCAAGAGTTTGCTACATTTGAATGCTTTTTCTTATCTACTTATTGACAGGAAGTGACAGGTTATCAAAGTGTCAGTTCAACTTTTTATTAGCTTGCTCATAGAGTGTGAAGTATGAAAAATCCACTGGAATTGTTAGTTTTCTTCATAATTATTCTACGCCTTGCAACTAACAGATTACTTAGTGATAGAGCCTAGTTTTGTTGTCTCCTCATACTCACTTTGCCATTTTTATTACTTCGCTTTGGTGCTAATGAGAAATGAAGGAGCCCAAAATATGAAAAGAGAGAGCAGAGAATAAGACTAATGATCAGAATAAGTAGCTACTTGTGTTGACAGTACGTCTTTCTGTGTTTTAACTAGTTGTTTTTAGGACAACTATAGGTATCTAATATGCATTCAACAATACACTGAATATGTTAATGTTGATGGTGGTGTACGCTTTTAAGAGGCAGTCGTATTAAGTTATTTACCAACTAAAACTTTACCAGAAGCAATGCCAGCTTCATTGTAGGAGGTCAGTAAATATTTTAATTTTTTTATTTTTGCAGTGTTTCTTCCCCTCCTCTCCCATCCCTGGTAACCAACAAAGAAAGTTCCCTTCCAGATATAAACTTCCTTGACTTTTTACAATAAGGAACTGATACAATAGTTGTCCTTCTGTGATTATTTCACTCAGCATAATGTCCTCCAAGTTCATCCACGTTACAGTGTTTTGCAGATTCTGTGTT